GACCCGAGGTGGCGCCGAGGAGCTCTGCCTGGAGTGATGGCCGAGGTGTGTAGAAGAGGTGAGGGCACCGAGTAGGCTGCAATTAAAAAAAAAAGGGGTGGTGGTGGTGGTATTTTTATTTCTTAAACTTGTGTTGCGCTCAGAGATACTTGTGTGGCGCTGCCACCCCTCTCTCGACATTTAGGCTTAGGCGGAGGGTCTGCTATCGAAGTAAAAAATGAACACACCTGTCAAAGAATAGTGCAGGCGGACGATCACCTGCCCACCTAGCTGCTCCTGGGAAGGGGAACGCCGGGCTGTGTTCCAAGCTCCCCGTGCGTCACCGGTCCTCTGGGCTGTATCAGGATACCGTTCCCTCCCCACGTGAGCTCCCGTCCTTCTCGGAGACAGCCTCCTTCATCAGCCGCAGCCCCGGGAGGGTCTGGCTCAGGAACGGCCAAGGGAGGAGACGGAGGAGTTCATGATCTGCGCTTCCCTGAGTGCAGTAGCTAAACAAGTAGCTCCCGAAAAGCACACCGGGTTTGTCCATGAGCTCCGCTGCCTAGGACGTGAAAGTTGTTCCCAAATGCTGGTTGGAAGGGAAGTCGTTTCTTAATTTCCCCTGGATATAGGCAGTAGTAACCTGAATTCGTAGTCTCACAAAATGAAATCGTAACTTTAATTTGTGGTCACGTGAGTGCCACCCTTGGTTTGTTGAGTTTACATTTCTTCTTTGTACTCCTGGTTTGATCTCTGATGAAGAATCTGGAAGAGAAAAAAATATCCCAATTTTGATTTTTCGCCTGATAATTTGATGGAGGATTGTGTTAATTAGATGACCCTGGTTATAATTGACAATTGGACGCACTCTGTATAAACGTAGAATAGACCCATTTGTCACTATCCTTTGCCTCTAATTTCACTTGAGAAAATTCTGTGCAACTGGCATGGAACTTTCAGGTTTTTACAGATGATATGGTTGCATTTTAAGGAGATTTTTCTCACTCAGAAGTGTAGTATGTAGTGTCCTATCATTCCATGTTGTGGAAAATCTGATTATTTAGTCATAGAACTTCTAAAGAGAGATTTCATAACTTGCCAAATGGGTGTTATTTTAAAGTTACAATATTAAGAACCTGTTAGATTTTCCTTATTCACTTAATTCATTAATGCTATTTTTCAGTGTCTGACATTGTGGCTATCAGTTTCCTATTTGGTCATTCCATTTCATACCATATTTTATATATTTGGTTCTCTTTTATTAAAATTTTTTCCTTTATATTGAACTTATTGGGGTGACAGAGGTTAACAAAATTATACAGGTTTCAGGTACACAATTCTGCAACACGTCTTCTGTACACTGTATTGTGTGTTCACCACTCCAAAGCAAGTCGTCTTCCATCACCATTTATCCCCCCTATACCTTACTCCACCTCCCCCTACTCCTATAGCTGGTGTTCTTGCTATTGCACGACATTGTCTTCTTCTTAGCCCAGAATGCTCTTTTGTGACATCTAGTGTTGCCATGACACTTTCCTCTTCTGCCACACATAAGGTTTCTGTACTAATTCTAACCCCCAAAATAGTTTTAAATACTCATTGATAGTGGCATAAAATTATAAACTTTTTGTTCTTTATAAGTGGATGCACACAGAGGATAATTTTTATTCTGGTTCATAAAATATTTCAAGGGATGGATAATTTAGGCCTAAAGAAGACCTGATTGCACACATGTTCCTGTTTATGGTCTTTCCTTGTTTTTATTGACAGTCCCAGCACAGTGTATCTGACCCTTTATCTTTCCATTTGTTTCTAGCTGCCCATCCTCTTTCAAAGTCAAACTTGACATCTATAGCATATTCTTTCTTCCTTTACTTTTGCCTGCCTTCTATGTAAATGCCATTTTTGAAATAGCATTTCTGGTCCTCTCTACCTAAATATAAAAAGTTTCTAGATCCATCTTTGTATTACTTTATAATCACCTTTCTTTTCAAATATGTTAATATTTTCAATATTATAAAATAAAGTTCATATTTTCAAAATATATGATATTTTATATTTGGCAACTACCTAATTTCTTGATTAAAAGCTACTTGATTTCCATTGCTTTTTCAGAGTTTTAAAATATTTCTTTTGCTTCACTTTCATGTTAGGAACACTTTTTTTTAAAAAAAATTATATTTTATTGATTTTTTACAGAGAGGAAGGGAGAGGAATAGAGAGTTAGAAACATCGATGAGAGAGAAACATCGATCAGCTGCCTCCTGCACACCTCCCACTGGGGATGTGCCCGCAACCAACGTACATGCCCTTGACTGGAATCGAACCTGGGACCTTTCAGTCCGCAGGCCGACGCTCTATCCACTGAGCCAAACCGGTCACGGCTTAGGAACACTTTTTGTCAGCATCTTCATTTGAGCCATGTCATGAAAATAATTTCTGATGATATGTCTTTAGGTAATGTGACTACAGTGGTTTACTTGATTTTATTAGCTGTTGTAAAGTTATTTGCTGGATTCAGTTCATTTTTTTGATTGATTGCTTTATTTTAGGAGTTGTGATAGGCTCAGTTAATAAGTTTATGGCATTTGATTAATTTTCATTGTGCATCAAGAAACTTGGAATAACTGGAAATGTATAATAATCTGAAAAAAAGATTATTATATGGTTGTTTTTGATAATCGAATCTTTAGTAAAATGTGGTTTTAAAGCTAGAGAGGAAAAATATTTTCTGTATAGTCAATGTATTTATTGAGTAATTGCTGAATGTTATTTATTCTTTTCAGTTATCATTCTTTCAACAACTATTAAAGAAACGTTTCTATTTTTAAGGATATTAGCCTAACATGGCAGCAAACATGCTTGGAAAGTGAAATAAAAGGAGAGAGTTTAATAACCAGAGGAGAGATCAGTAATATAGGATCTTATAAGTCAGTGAAAGAGTGTATGAGTACAAGTCATTATGAGTGTAACTTGTTCAAAGGAGGGAACAGTAAGTGGCCAGAAAATTTTCATGTCTCCTAATATGATTTAGTATATGGTATTAATGTGCTAATTGATTGTATTAGAAAATTCACTGTAGAAATAACAGTTAATGTAATTTCTTAAAATAGAATAAAAATCTCAAAGTTGGGAAAGGAAAATCTTAAAATGTATTTAGTTAGAGCTTATTCTATGTATGAAAAAAAGCCTAGATACATGCTATTTTACATTTGACAATGACCCTAATTTCTTCTTGATTAAGAACCTTTTGATTTCTATTGCTAACTTGCAACTTGCTCATTGTTGTTTTTTTTTAAATCCTCACCTGAGGATATTTTTTTCCATTGAGGGAGAAGGTGAGGGAGAGGAAGAGGGAGAGGGAGAAAGAGAAAGAAACATCCATGTGAGAGAGACACATTGATCGGTTTTGGCCAGCATCGGCCCCTACTGGTCCGGGATGCAACCCAGGTGTGTGCCCTTGACTGGAATTGAACCCGAGACCCTTTAGTGCACAGACCAGTGCTCCAACCACTGAGCAATCCTGGCCAGGGTTTGCTTATTGTGTTATATCCAGGTGTAGGTAGTGCAGAATTGGCATTAGAACTTAGATCTCCTGATTCCAAGTCCACTGCTGATGGCACTCTATTTGGTTGCATTTTGCACAACAGAATTCTTGTTTTGTATTTGGTGCATTTGATCTTGGCTTTGTCACTAACCAGCCATGAGACCTTGGAAAGTTACTTAGCCACTCTACATCTCAGTTTACTATTCTGTAAAATAGGATAATGGTACCATTACCTTCTCCATAGGATTGTTAATAGGATTAGATAAACATACATTTAGCATGTAATAAGTGCTCAATGCATGATGGCTTTAATCTGATAATAATAAGTAGTATTACTAGTAATTCAAGGAATTGTATTTAATTACATATAACCATATTATTCTTAGCTTATTAATTTGGTGAAGTTCATGTTCCTTTTGACTCTTCTAGAGTGCTAGTAGTAGTTTTTTGGCAGGTCATAGTTGAGGAATTAAGGTAAAAAATAATGAAGTGGTTTGCCCTGAGTCACCCTGCTAGACTAATTCCAGGTTGTCTGAATTCTAATGCTTTGTCACTGCATATGCTTCCTCTCTAATTAAGTAACTCTATTAAAATGGAGCACAATGTCCGTTTTGTTTTGGCCTCAAAAATTAATTCTCTATCTCTTAAACATGGCTTACAACTCAGCATTCTTATTTATGTTATCTTTTAAGTTACAGTAATGTTGAAAGTATCCTAAGAATTTAGTTGAAGTTAAAAATTGAAAACCTCGTCATTAAAAAGTGACCCATAATTCAAAGATGTTACCTATTTTGTTTTCATCTACATTAAGTTGATGTCACTCCTCCCTTATCCATTTAAATTTTAAGATTGGAGATATTTTAGCATTAGGAAAGGATTTTGAGGATTTCTTCTGTAGTAGTTTAACATTGCAAAGTTTTATCTTTCAACATTAATATGGACATAGTGATAGTAGTAGTTATGGTATTTTACATTCAGATCAACTGTGTAAGTTCCCACTCTTTTTTCTTAGGTTGATGTTTTTAAAAAGCATGTGTTCTGCTGCTGATTATATTTCATCAAATTAAGATGCATTATTATTTACCACTGTCTGTTATCTGTCACTGTATAACAAATAGTCCCAAAATGCAGTGGCTTAAAACAATTATT